ATAAGGTCGGATATTTATAGAGGAGTTGCATTGTACTGTTCCCATTTGTTTAATGACTTGGACAGAGGAACAGGTAGCTGTAGAATTCTGCCTAGATTGGTTCAACTGGCCAAGGAAAATGGAGGGTTAGTAAGGACAGCACATGCAAATTGTACACTCATCCTTTCCACAGGCCACCATGGAAATTAAATGTTATGTAAAAAAAAAAAAAAATAGGATCTAGACTTCTGAACTAAGCCACCAGATTTAGAATGTTGAACATATTGAAACCCAGCTAATTGGGAGTGTGCTATGGGGCTGACCAGCTCCATATTCGAAAATCCTTTATAATCAGAGAAGCTCAGGTACACAATTGGGCAACACTGTAGACCCAAATAATCAGCTTGGTCAAAAAAGAAAATTTCCCTGAAGAGAAAGCAAGCCATGATTGTGCTAGGAAAGGGACACTGGATCTGGTGTTCTATAATTGTCTTACCCTTAGAAGGAATCACCTGCCCTTGCTGAGGGGTTTTAGACTTTTCTTCAATCTAGTTTTTACTTTTCAAAGTAATGTAAAATAGATATTGTAGTGTAAACAACTAATGTTGTTTTAGAACTCAGAATGTATATTTCTGTGTCTTCAGTGGTCCATGACTTCATCACACTGACTTCAAGTGTAAGTGGATGATTTTGTATCAAAGTGAAGACTTATCTTCTGTCATATGACTCTAAAATTACTATTAGACTTCTGTTAAGAAGTCAAGGCTTTATGAGGAAAATGTAAGTAGATAACCATGAATTTGTATCAGGGAACAGAAGCATTGTAGGTTCAGACCGGTTCCATCCGGTTCATACTGGATTGATCCTGTTTGGACCGGTTCAGACCGGTTCCATCCAGCACAGATCTGTTTTATCCAGCTCAATCCAGTTCAATCCGGTTCAGACCTCTTCAGACCGGTTATCTACAGCTCAGACCGGTTTAGACCGGTTCAGACTGGTTCTATCTGGTTCAGAATGGTTTAAACCAGCTCAGACCAGTTCTATGCGGTTCAGACCGGCTCAGACTGGCTTTTAGACCTGTTTTTTCCAGCCCGATCCAATTCAGACCAGTTCTATCCAATTCAGACCGGTTTAGACCGGATCAAACTGGGTCTAGCCGGTTCAGACCGGTACAGACCTGTTTTATCCTGTTCTATCTGGTTCAGACCGGTTCTATCAGGTTCAGACCAGTTTAGACCTATTTGATCCAGTTGAGAACGGTTGGATCTGGTTCATATTGGTTCAGACCAGTTCAATCAGGTTCAGACCGGTTTAATCACTATAGATTTGCTTTCTGTTGAATTTAAGTTTTACTACATCATGTTCAGACAGATACCCTGACATATTTCAAATTTTATGATAAAATAGTTCACTTTACAAATCAACAAATTAAGCCAGAGAAATAAATGAGGCTCACATACAAATCAGTAAAGCACTGAAATACCAAATATATTTCCCAGATGCCTGAATTTCCTTAAGCACACCGTTTCTTTACTAATTAAATATGTTATTCCACATGTCAGCATCCATGGCTTAAAATACCAAAATCTCTTCAAAATAATAAGCTTCCTTTTCATGCTAATCTATTAAAGTACAATAGTCTTTTTAGGGGTAAGGTAGAATAGACATAGATAAAAATCAATGCAATTACAGGTAGAGAATATTTGAATATTAGTCTAAAGGTCTTTAGAAGTCAGTATCTCATATAGCGCAGCCTGGGAAGAATAGTTTCACCCACAGCAAGTGGACACCAGTGTCACAGAGTCATGCTATGCCTAGTACTATTGGGGACCATCACCAACCTCACAACCTCAGGTCTCTCAGGCAGAAAATTACTGCCTCTTAAAGAAATAAACAGAATGTTCAGCAGAACATTCTAAGGTACAGGTTTGTGGTCTCACAGCCAGTTAGAGAATAGCTCAGGGCTCTCTCTCCTACTGCAGTTTAACAGCCAGTTAAAGAGTAGCTAACCAGCTCAGGGCTATCTCTCCTGCTGCAATTTACAGCCAATTAGAGGTTAGCTAAACAATTCAGGGCATTCCTTCTACTGACCTTGTCACTCTGCCTATATGCCAGTGCCCATGCCCTGGCTATGGTCAAGCCCTGCTCACATCCTGCCCATGGTCCTATATAAGTATCCCCTGAGAAAATAAAATTTATTATCTTGGAAAAAAAAATGCTTTGACTTCCAATTTTAAGTCTAAGGACAAGTTACTTGGTAAAAGGATTTCTAATTTTGTTTCTACAGAAAATGAAAAGCTGAGGATTCCTTCTAGACTAATGTGGTTTGATCAAGCAAGACCCCCTGAAACAGAGTCCCAGGTGATCCAACATTCAAAACAGTTGGGACAAGGCAACCTTACAGATTACAGCCAGGATTTCTGCATCTCCTTCGGATCCCCCATGACAGTGCCCCCTACCAGCAGGAAGCAGTTTGGAAAGAACAACGCCCAAAATCCCTAATAGTGTTTATAAATGTTTGTTGTCATTTAAATGGGCTTGGTTATAAATGGTTAATGATCAGAATCAATTCTTTTAAAGGTAAAAAGGAGATTGTGGATAGAGATGAATACTTTGTTTTAAAATGGAATTTCATTTATTGATACAATTTAAGGTCAATTTCATGATGTGCATATTTCTCCTCTTGTTTAGGTATTGTGCTTATATAGCTCATTTAAAAATGTAATGTATAATTTAATACATATTATAGATAGTTACCTATGATAGACAAAGCTTAGAGTTAAGTTAGTTAGGTTTTCAAGATACACAGAGATGTATTTGAGATGGATAGGCATTCTTCAACCCTTTCAAAGACCTACAGAATACGACATTTAAAATGGTTTAGGGTTTTTCTTAACAGTGAGGCACAACTGCTCCTGGCAATACCACCTGCATCAGAGAGGAATGTGGACCTTGAATAAATGTGTTATGGATTTTGCTTCCAATATGGCAAGACTAGCCATTTGGACAGATACTGCTCTGGTCTGGACTGTTTGACTTTATGCTATATATAAACTGGACATGCAGGACCCACAGGAAAGTGACTGCTGATACAAGATAGACATTGCTATAGGGTTCCTGCTTCATGGAAGAGTCTGCCAGACAGTCTGTAGGACACAGAGAAAATTGACTGACAAACTGCCAATACAGGTAGACAGTTTAAAGTTTCCTGCTTTGCTGAGGAGTCTGACAAACACACTATGCCGTATGGGCTGAAGATGGAATATTACAGAAAAACTTTAGGTGACTGACCAGGTGAGTTGTCTCTGTCATTTCTAGAGTTTATATAATATCCTTCTGTGGTCTTTGAAGGAGTTGAAGACAGATAGTTATGGTTATATTTTTCTTTAGTTAGAATTAAAGATTAGTTACATATTATAGGACTTCAGACTCACAAAGATAGGATAGATGATGAAATATTTTCTTTAAATCTTGCTAAATGTTAATGGACTAAATATTGTTAACTATGGTTCTTATTTGATAACTGTTTTGTTATACATTTTGCTATGGTAAGGTTAAAACCCTTCTTTTTATTTTAGACAGAAAAGATGATGGGAGATGTCATTCTGTAAATAAGTTTCTCTTATTAGTTAATCAATAAAGCACTGTTGGCCAATAGCAAAGTAAGATAGGCGGGACTTGGAGACTAGGAGGAGAGAGGAGGGAAGAGATCCTAGATGGGGGATAGAGAGAAGAATGCCAGCCCCTTTCTCCGGTAAGATAAGACCATGTGGAAATACTTAGATTAATAGAAATGGGTTAATAATTAAGACAGAGTAGCCGATAAGAAACAAGTAACTGGCCTACGGCTTTATATCAAAAAAAAAAAAAAAAAAAAAAAAAAAAAGGAAAGAAAGAAAGAAAATTTAAACTAGAAAAAAATTAAAAATGATTGGTATGACTCTAATAACGGTTACACACTCTTTCTTTCCTTACTTCCTTCCTTCCTTTCTCAGAGATTCATTTCCCTTTGCCTTCCTAGAATTGAAATTACAAACAAGCCCCACCTTGCTTGGGTTGCCTTAAAATGTGTTTGGGGCTCAAACATGGGTCCTTGTGCCTTGTAGCGACTTTACCAACTGAACTCCCTCAAGCACCCACCTCGCCTGGTAAAATGAACCTTTCCTTACATATCAGTTTAGCAATAGCTAAAACGATTTACCTGCCTTTTGTGGGAATGTACCTTCATAATCTGAGAGGGAAAAGATTGACTAGGCTGTCTCAATATTAGTGTTAAAATAAATCATCTACAAAAGAATTGCAGTTTCTGAAATATGGACATCTCTATGATAGTTAGCCTCGTGAAACCTAGAGCACTTCACATCCAATAAACCAAAGTTCTGAATCATGAGCACACTTGAAGTTACTTTTGTAAGAGCAATCCTTAGCACTTATCTGGAATGCACTATGTGCCTCTCCCACAAATTCCTATGTTGCAGCCCTAACCACTACTCTTTGAGAAAAATATGTAATTTGACAATAGAATCTTCACAATAAAGTCAGAATGAGGTCCTTATGGTAAGCCCAATCCAATATGACAAGTATCCTAAAAAAGAAGGGGAAAAATGTACAGCAAGATGTGCATAGAGGGAAGCTATGAAGAGATAAAAGGAAAAGACAGCCATCTAGAATAAGCCATGGTGAGAAGACTGTAAAACACCACTTTAACTGGCCTCAGAAAGAATCAACGCTGCCAACATCTTGATTTCAGACTTCTAGTTTTCATTACGGAGAGATGATGAATGTCTGTTTCTTAAGTCACACCAGCTGTGGTTCTTTGTCACAGCATCCCTTGCAAGCTTTCCTGGTACCCAATTATCTCATTGAGGTTGCAGCCTTAGGTTCTGGCTAGGGCCTGTGTTTCTTTCTTCAGGGCTGTTGGTGGCAGTGTAAGAGCTCAGAGAAAAGATGAACTGTAAGACTCCAATATATTGAACAAAGCAACCAAAGGGATGTGAAAAATAAACACAGGGACACCAAACTTGATTACTGTCATGATTTATTAATATTCAGATTGAAAAAGGAGCCTTACAGCCTCAAGTTACACTAATTGGCACATTTGTTTTATTTATTTATTTTTTAAAACAAACCGGGTTTTTTTTAATTTTTTATCCTTTTTTGTTCATTCCATCACATTGAAAATAAGGAAACAGAAGTGGTTTTGAATTCACTTGATATTTTTGACTCCTCAGAACGGAACATTGCACACACACACACACTTGGAACAGAGAGAATAGAGAGGAAAGTGGACTCCCACAGGGCCACACGCACCAGATCAAAAAACTGGGGTACAGTGCAAGAATTTCCCAAGATGACTGCATCATCATTACCAAAACTCGCCATAACAACACCAAGAAACAAAATGTTTAAGCCACACTGTTGGACTTGGGATCTTTCCTGCTTTTTTTTTTTTTTAAATGTTTGCCACACAGAGAAAGGGGGCTAGTAGGTAGGAGAGGACAGGCTCACACACGTGAGTGGGACAGGAGAGGAAACTTCAGAGTGGAGCAGAGAAAGGGCGGGAGAGACAGGGTTCAGGTGGGAGCAACATGGAAAGCCATTTCTTAAAGTTCAGGCATGTTCTTGGTCAGCCTCGGGGTCTTCTTTACCCTCATCCTGTCGGGCACTTTCCTTAGGTTTGGCTTCATCTACAGCTTCTGAGGAAGAAAACAGGGTGGGGGGAGGGAGAGGAGGGTTAGTATTTTGTCTCATGAATCTGTTCAACAGTACAATGCATGTCTTCTTTTCAAGTCATTGCATAACAGATTGAGATAATGTGATGATTAACATCCCAGCAATCCAATCTACCAGAAGCTTTTATTCTAGGACATTGCTCAGTAACACATAAGAAAGTGAAGGACAAGTTCTCACTTGGTAGATATTAAATTATTACATTCTCTCTACATTCTCTTTCTCTTTGTCTCTGTCTCTGTCTCTCTCTCTCCCTCTCTCTCTCTCTCTCTCTGTGTGTGTGTGTGTGTGTGTGTGTGTGTGTGTGTGTGTGTGTGTGTGTGTGTGTGTTGTTGAGGTCAGATGACTACTTGCAGGAAGGAGTCAGTTTCTTCTCCCACCTTGTGGATCCTTGGGATCAAACTCTGATTGTCCAGCTTAGTGATGAGCACCTTCACCAGCTGACGCACACCCCTAACTCCAGCACATCACTGGTTTTTAACCTTTCCGAAAGCAAGACAACAATAACCTTGTTTTTCTCTTGCTTAGTGTCAGAATAATTCTGGCAAATAATCCATGTGGCTCATTGAGCATCCATTCCAATTTATGTTACAGCTATTTCTAGCCATTTGAACTTCAGAAATGTAATCACCTGTTGGAGCCAGGGGAGGCCACCAAAGACTATAGTTTGGTTGGGAGTAAAGAAGTTTCTTTGGGAGGGTAGAGTTGGTTTTGTCCTTTGTGGCTCCCTCTTCCCAATACAGGGAGCATCAAAGAATACCTGAAACTGTAATGTCTATCTTAGGACCACAAAGACACATACTCAATATGGTGAGACAGAAAGAAAATTCATCATTGCATGTAGTGTACCACACTTGAACACCTTTCCATCATCCTTCTCATTGAGGATTGCTCTGCTCAACAAGGTAGATTTTTATCTTTATGAAGGTTAATTTCCTCAACTCCAAAGCTTTCCCTGCCTAACTGTCAACTGATTACATGCTACAAGACATTTTACTAATAGGCCAGCCTGTCTAAATAGAATCCATTGTCCCTAAAATTACTTGGTGACAACTAATGGCATATTTTATGCCCCATAGCAAGATCACCCTTAAATCAAGTGAATTTTCAGAGAGGCCTTATAGACTCAGCAAAAAGCCCTATCCATGGTTATAATTTATGATAGTGGAATGACACAAAATAAGTAGAGGAGGTAGAGAATGCATGGGGCAAAATTGGGAGAACAAACACAAGGAACTGTGAGTCTTCTTCCCCATGGAGTTTTAAGGATTCACTTAATCCTTCCAGCCATGAAAGTGAGAACACATGTAAGTCAGCATCTATTAGGGATACTTGCTCAAGCCTTCAAGTTCAGATATGCACTGGGAGCTGGTCACAAAGGTGCTCACTGCCTAGCATGAACTGAAGCCAGGCTCCCAGAATGAAAACACATGTTCAACATAAAGTGCCCTGTTTACACAGATTTTAGGCTTAGGAATCACTCTTATCAAACCGGGGACTGAGAGAACTCATCAAAGTCCCAGTTCACAGGTGCTGATCATGAGTCAGTTTTCTAAGTTACCCTAAGGACAGAAGCCCCAAGCCTACTGTGCTAGCATTTGTTTTCTTCACACATTCCAGTGTTAACGATATCGATACCCTTTAAAATGTAGCTTTCATTATTGTTTTTCTCTCTGAATATCTACTAGCTACCAGTTTTCCTTAGACAGATAAACTGAAGCCAGTGGGATCTTATTAGTCTGGCAGATTTGCATTTAATTAGAAGGCAATGGGTAGGCTCTGAAAACACTAAAGCAAAAAAAAAAAAAAAAAAAAAAAAAAAAAAAAAAAAAGAAAGTGTAACAGATATGCCTCAAGGAGATTAAATAAAATGGATTGCTATCGAAAGGAGATGCTGAAGTTAGTGAAAATAGAGCCCACTTAGCAGGCCATTAGAAGAATTATAAAAATTTATTTGTCTTTCAAGTCACTTACACTTACACTGGCATTCACTTAAATAAGACCACCACTATCAAGCATACCTGTGAAATCCCTTCTTTGTAACTATATCTAAAAATGCCCTTGAAAATGTACGCAATTTCTATAATCCAGACATTCTCATCTGATAAGTAATAATTTCACGTTATAATGGGGTGTGTGTGTGTGTGTGCGTGCGTGCGTGCGTGCGTGCGTGCGTGTGTGTGTGTGTGTGTGTGTGTGTGTGTGTGTGTGTGTGTGTGTTTGATGTTTTAAAGTCTTAACTGGCTTTGCAGGATGCACAGTTCAGTGTGACTTACTTCTGCAACACAATGGTTACTCAGAAAGAGCCTTCAACCAAAAAGCTTTCCAAATGAAAACTATTAACTTTTGAAGAACATTGTCTTAATCCAAGTTTTTGGTTACAATGAACTCAATCTTTAACATAACAACCTAGATACAGACTCCTTAGGGGCAACAATATCTACTCTTGTTTCATTTTGAATCCCTAGTGGTCAGCACAGACATCATACAGGGAAAGCACTCAGTGAGTTTTGAGTGAAACAATAAACAAGTAGTTTCATTTCATAAATGAGAGAACTGAAGTACAGAAAGAAATGTTTCTTAACACATATGGTTTGTTGGGAGCCAAGCCAGAACTAGAGATCAGATCTTCTACTTGTGTTTTATCAGGGGAAGAAACTTGAGCAGCAGAAGTAAGGAGAATGCCTGTTTTACCAACTGAGCACCACAAAACCATTAGCTAGAGTCTAGAAGTTTTCGGTTCACTATAAAACTATATTTTCTAAGGCTCCTGAATGTAAACACCAAGAAAATGACAACTGATGAGATTCACCTGAATTGTCAGTCATTTAACTGAATCTTAATTGTTAATTAATTAATTAGTTCCGTGTATACCTTGTTTGGCTTGAAACATGAGTAACTCTTCTAATTAGACCATTGAGAAGTAAGGTCATTTTTGTTTGAGATGACAAGCTGACTACTTCATAAAAGCAGTATGTATCAAGTCAGGGTGTTCAGTGAAGTTTTGACAAGCCCCCAAGAAAGTATGCAAAATAAATAGATAGATGAATGAGAAGGCTTGGAGGGAAGAAACACTAGAAAGTACCAGTTTCGCCATCTCTCACAATTAGAAAGTGAGGTCAGCTAAAATGAAGAAGCCATAATACTACTAAAGAAAACCCTACATACAAATGAAAGAACTCACAGTCAGATGTGGGGTTACACCTGCTTTAAAAGCAGACACTTTTATGGATACCAAATGCAGCCTGTGAAGGATTTTAAGACCAAATGGAAAGGAATTTGTTAGGATATGTGTGATTTAGAGTCAGTACATTTGAACCTGCATGCAGGAAAGAATGTTCTGTGTGATTGATGTGTTTTCATCCCCATTGATGCCAACCATAAACAAGTCTTACAGATAATAAATCACACTGGCCATACAACTGTAGATCTATGATTTTGTGTTTTCTTCAGCCTCCGTGCCTGGAAGTTGGTTTACTGTAAATTATGAGAGTCCTGGCCCTTTGTGTAAGGTATTTTGCTTAAACTGATACTTATAAGGTGTTGTCAACGCTCAGAACAGTTGAAAGTACTTTTGTATTGTTTCATTTTCACCCTTGAAGCTACTCCAACCATGTTATGTTACATCTGGGGGATCTGAAGCAAAAGATTAAATAATTTATATAAAGTTGTACATCTGGGTGGTAAGTGGCAGCTTACCTCAGCCTGTCATAGAGCCTACTTAAGCCTTCAGCTTGATACTACATCCTCTGCTCTCCCCTTAGCCCAACCAAGATGAATGGACTCACTGGGAACAATGACACAAGTCCATAGTTACAGTCTCAGTCAGTGTCAATGAAATCTAGAAGTTGGATTTACAAAAAATGGCTCAAAATGGTGGGAAGGACCCTCATTAGTGTTTGGTAATATGAAAGTCGGCCTTGGCACATTCTGGTGCTAATTATGTAATTTGAAAATGCTAGAGATGAGTTAATATGTAATCTTTGGTATTTTGAACAAAAAAAAAATCTTTGATCATGGTGGTGAATGTGAAAGACATGAATGGCTGAGGCCAGCTGGTCACTCTAATTACCACAGTCCAATTAGCATAAATAACTACATTCCTCATGCAGAGCATCATGCTCCCTCAGTGACAGTCGTTACTTAGGAGGCTGGAGAAGCTAAAGGGCTGATGTTACATTTTCGGTGCCAAGTGACATCGAATAAGGGAGCAGAGGTAACAGGGCTCAGAACTAGCAAGTGAGTCTGACACATGGGCTGCTGAACCAAAGCAGCTATCCTGTAAGGCAAAGATTGGGCACAGTTTTTCTTAGTCATTTAGCTCCAGATGTTGCCTTTAATCACATTGAGCAAAAAAATAAATATTCATATTCATATTTTGGTTTATTCATATTCATATTTTGGTTAAGATATTACAAGTCAAAGAATCTGAATTGTTGTATTCCTGCAAATTTGTATGAGAAAATCTTGATCCTTGGTGTTAATATTAAGGGGTGTGGAGTCTTTAGCCAATGATTACACCATGAGGGTGGAGCACACGTGATTTGGCAGAAGTTTATTAAACAGTGGACCATTGAGCACCCACTAATTCTTTCTGCCATGAGAAGACACAGTGGGGATGTTAGCTCTTTAAAATATCAGGTCCGCACTTGACAAAGTGAATTAGTTATAGGCTTGATTTTGGATTTTCCAGCTGCCAAAACAGTGAGAAGTAAATTTCTGGTTTTTAAAAGCCACCCAATTTCAGTATTTTTAAATCTGGCAAGCTAAAATACTTTGGTAACATATACACACATATGTGTGTTGGGGTGGGGGGTATCATATGGCCAGATGTTGTGTCCCCAAATTGGTCTTCATCACACCAAAATTAGCTCCCCAAATCTTGTTCCCTTATGAGTACTGGAGATGTGTTTTAGCAGCTTGCATTAAGAAGAAAAAAATATTTATGTGCCACAAGGTATGAGAT